CATGAGGACAGAATTTTGTTCTGCTCATCACTATATCCCAGCATCTAGAATTTAGCCTGATATATAGTGGAAAGGAAGTACATATTTGCTCAATGAATAAATGGAAAACTTTTGGACAGCAGTGGTCAATTGAGATCTCAAAGGTCATAATCCTACATAATACTCCCAATGGCCCTCTGAGAAAGATATAGATTTTTATAATCCCCAGGTTATAGGAAGCAGATGCAGAATGATTGATTTCCTGCAAATTACAGAGCTGGTTGAGTGGCAGATATCGATTAGAACTAATTCTCTAGGTTAGGACTTGGTTCTCAGTATGATCCTAGCAACATTTCCTGGTTTCCCCATTGCCTCATGGAACCCAAAGGTCATTCATTGTGCTCTTTATTACTTCATAGTTTATTAAGGTTTTTTTTTTCTGTATTTAGAATTAAAAATACATGGACTCAGAATTTATTGTGAAATGGTGCATATTAATTCTTCCTCTTTTTCCCCACTTCCTTTCTTCTTTCCTGTCAGTAGTTGTTATATATTAAAATAATTTCTTTAGTGAAATTTTGAGTTTTGTAGAAAATATGGTAAAAATGGAATTTCAGTTCCTGTGATCCGTAGAATAAAGTCTGAATCTTTGAGGCTTTTTCCTTTGGAAAGTCTCAGGACTTTTCGAACACTTTCAAACATGTCTTCAGACAAAACTTGCTTCTATTTGAGTAGCACAAGATTTGGCACACCTGCCTTCCTCTCTCAGGTCCATATCCCAGTTTTTATGCACCCTAGCTTTCATCAATCCAAAACTGGCTAACGAAAGGACCAAGGCTTGCCAACACAGGAAGTCAAACAGCACCAAGGGCCTTACTGTGAGTTTCCAGCGCAGTGATGTCCTCGTGGGCAGTATCCAAGGAGCAGAACAAGTCACTTCTCAGCAGGTGCCTTTCACAGTCACGTTTTGACAATGGCTTATTTCCAGCTTGCTTTTGTGTCTGCCTCACAGCCTCATTCCAGGTGGGGAAGAGTGTCAGCCTGGGGTATTATTTAAGGTGTGACCTGCAACTTGGCTCTTGTTCAGTGTGAACTAAGGTGCCCTACTGTTCCACATCAGGTCCTTCTGCTCTGAATACCTTGCAGGGTGGCCACTATCACTACAAGACCACATTACTGAGTACTTGAGTTTATCTAGTTACAGCCCTGCTCCAGACCAATTCATGACTCTGATGGTCACAGCAAACATTTCTCACTATAAACTGGAAGAACTACTAAAATGGGATATTGGTTTTATCAATCCAGGCTTCTACGTTAAAGACAAGAAAATGTGTTAAGAAATTTGGATAAATTTCATGTCTGTCTATAATTCCTTTCCTCATAAAATATTTATGTTTAAAGATGTACTAAACCATAGCAAGATTTCAGTTTTTACACTCCTGGCTTTCCTTAAGAGATACCGTTTTTCCACATAGTGATTAGTTGACTCTCTTTGTTCTCCATTCAAGTGTTCCTTTATCCAGTCTGTGTGGAACAAGTATTTCATGAACACAAATGTACTGGCTACTGAGGATACAGGTAGAAAAGACAGAATGGGCTTCTACCCTTGTTGGAAGTAGAAATGCATATCAGTGAATTAGAAATAAAATTAATAACTCCATTCTAATTTTGGAAAAAGCAGTGAGAAGTACAAGATAAGCATCTGTGCATGGAGTTCTGGAAGGTTTTCCTGAAGAAGTGAAACTGAACTAAGATCATAGGGATGAGCAGATGTTGGCTATGTAAAGTTGAGATGGTGAGAAGAAAAATATGCAGCAGAGGCAATGTGTGGTAGAGGCTGAGCTAGAAAGACACAAGGCAGCACCATGAAGAAGTGAGGATTGCTCTTGTCAAATGACACACTTATGCATCTCACTGAAGGTTTACTCGTCAGCTGTTATGCATAAATCACCTTGCCCTGGGCTGACATACAACAGTGAGTAGAGATTCCGCTCCCTCACTACTAATACTTTAGTGGCAATGGCAACCCCAAAGGTATATGCTCCAGTAAGGGAAGGAGAGCTTCTAATGCAAACCACGAAGTCAGCAAACTAGAACTAATGTTAAAACTGGTGCTTGAAGGGTGGGAGGAAGTGAGAGGATGGAGCAATAATGGAAGTATGAGGTTGACAAAGAGGACTAGATTTCAGGTCAAAGACTAGACAGAAAAAAACGGTAAGACCCATTGGGGAATAAAAATAAGTACAAATATGAAGACAGAAGTAAAGGGAGGTGATTTGATTGTTTCTGTGTTTTATCCCTTACATAAAAGAGTCAGATCAGGTCTTTGCTAGATCATAGGTTTCATGATACTATTTTAAATTCTGTACATATGCCAGGTCAAAATTGAGAATTTGTTAATAAGTTCTTGAGGCCACAGAGATAAGCAATGATAAGCTCCTTTAGTCTGCCAGTTAAATAAAAGTCAGGGAAAAAAAAAAGGTGGCTTTGATTGGAGGCGATATTACTGACCTGATTTTCTTTATTTGGAAAAATTCAAACACTTATTAGTTATGTGAAAAATCAAAATGATCTCATTATAAATGCAAATTCTTCCATCTTTCCATTGGGTTTTACTAAAGACTTCTCATATTTCCATTTCGAGGCCGTGTTAGAATGATGTTCCAATTGTGTCAGAAGAATAAATTGATTGGCATTGTGCAGATTGGTTGGGCAAGTGGTTGATTGCCTGGCACTGGGCAAGTTGTTAATTAGTGAAGAAAAATGAAATGTCAGGCCCAGGTAGCAGAGACGCACTTCTCTTGCCTTTGCCAAGTTGAATTTGGAAAGTGTTTATTGAGATGGACAACCTACATTAGCTAGATCAGTAGTGCACAATATTCAAAATAATTTCAAGTTTTATAAAATAAATGTACACAAAACAGCCGATTCGTATATCATCCATTCAGACTTAAATATAAAATAGGGTCATGTTAGCTAAACTATGAAAATACTACATCAAGTAACCATTCTACTACAAATCTCCAAGGGTTGCTCAGTAAGGCATATGAAGAAATTGAGACAAGGAAAACTGGAGTTGGGCTCCCAGTTGATATTCTAGATTGTTCCCTGAAGATACGATCTTAATATGCAGCTGTTGCTTAAAATGTCAATCAGTGACTAGAAATTATTAAATGTTTAAACACTAAATATTTGTCCAGAAATTAAACAGAATACCTTCTTTGACATTACGTGTATCTTTGAACTTGGAAATTCTGGTTATTTCACATTTCATAGGCTGATGAAATGAGACATTTATAAAATCAAGCAAAAAAAGATAGAGAATGAAAGATTAAATCTCTTCAGTATAGAAATGGGGAAAGCTGAGGATAGGCATGAACCGAATGAATATATTTATGGCCAATAATTAAGCCAGCTTTTAGAAACTGCTGACTCAATTGCATATTGGACACTCTTGAAGCCCAGTAAAGGAAGCTTTGGAAAATTACATTGAATAGAATTACTGCTTTGCCTAGTGTGCAGTGGACTTTGGAAGCTACTTGAAAAGGTGATGAGGAGAATAAATAGGAATGGAAATTTTTCCAGCTCTACTTAGTATGACCTGGGAAGTGTACAGTGTTTCTGATGGGCATGATTCCTTAATCAACAATGCTCTGATTCCTGATGGCCATTCTTCTGTTGCCTACCACGTTCAGTGACATGCTCAGTATGAATGTCTTGGTGATGATGAAGAATTTTAATTATACAGAGAAATGGCCCCCTGTTCTTATTCTATTGTCAACTAATGATAACTATGCACCTTTATTGAGCTATTTGTGCTACATTCTGTTCTCAGTGGATTTAGGCAACTCATTTAATTTGGATATTAATCTTGTGGTTGTTTTCCTATGCTGTGGTACTATTCGTATGCCCACTCAAAAGTGAGTGATCTGAGACACAAAAACATTAAATTACTTTCCCCAAGTCTCACAGTAGCCTAGTGATTTAACCAGAATTTAAACTCTGGCAATCTGACTTCAGACCCTGTACTTAGCTGGTATGATTCTGCCATCAGTGTGAACCAAATGGGTGAAGCAGCTCAGAGACAACTAGCAGTATCTTCTGGGATTCTAGCTCAGGGATTCTGACCATTCTCGTCTTTGCAGCCAAAGTAAATGTGTTCTCCCCTCTACTGTATCCTCTTGTTAGCAAAAGAGAGAAGGAAGAAGTTTGAGTGGAAAAGGATGGAGCCTTTGGATTTAATTTTTTTTTAATTTGCTCTTTTAAATTATACATGTCAGTAGAGTATATTTCGACAAATTTATACAAACATGGAGTATATCTTATTCTACTTAGGATCTCGGTCTTGTGGTTGTATATGATGTGGATTTAAATTTTCATGATTTTGCTTGCCTGGTTTAACTCAGGTTGGCCTCTTCCATTAGCTTCACCAAGACTAGGAGCTCCTTCAGGGAAGTACAAAGCAGACTATGTGTGGTTCATGATTGTTCTCTTCTATGTAAATCAGTTGCTGACTATGTAAGCAGAGGCCATATTCAGAGTGGAAGCGTTTTAGAATCACTATGCTTTGGAGAAAAAAAAATGCTAAGGCTCATAAACAGTTCCTAGTCAAAGGAATGAGAGCACTGAGAGCTTTCTCAGCTAAGCTAAGCTCCTGAAGTTTTCCACTAAGTGGGGGACTGGTTAATTTCCTGAGATAGACGCCTGCATGTTGTGTTTGCTCTCTAAGCAGGACCCCCAAACAATGTTTTCCATACCACATGGAGGCAACCAACAAGATAACAGGCATTTATAGTTACACCAGGGTAGGCTGTGTTCCTCCTGGCTACTCTCGTGCACACACACACACACACGTACACACACACTTCTGTCAATTCACCAAGAGAACTGCCAAAAGTAAGCACCTTGTCTTATTAATTTTATCTTTTAATTTCTGACCAATTATAAGAAAAGTGGCTTCCCCTTCCCTTACGGAGTAGTAGCTTGATGGCTGATTTCTCTCTTTCTCTTTTGAATCACAGCAGAATCTAAGAAGAAGAAAAAGGAAGGCAAGAAACAGGAGAAGATGCTGGATTAGATGATCCCACCTTCTGAGGAACAGGAAAAGGACATCAGCAACCGGAATCAGTTAACTATTGCATTTATACCTACTGTAGGCTTTTTATTCAAAAAATATCTATAGCTTAAGTACACAATAGGCAAAATGATGAGGAAAGAAATTTTTGTAGTAGCATTTTTTAAATATATACCATAGTACCACTAGGGGCTTATAATAAAGGACTGTAATCCCATTTAGAAAGTTGACTTATAGTACATGGTAAATGATAGACACTTGAGGTAAGGTTTTTGAAGTTATGCGATATTTCACATTTACTTTTTTTTTTTTTTTTTTTTTACTTTTTTTGGCAGCAATTTAAATGTTGTGAACATGTAAACTACATATCTTTCTATCTTTCTAGGTATTTTTTTTCACCTAGACTTTTCTTTTTTTCCCAAATTGAAAAAAGTACATACTAAACAAAGCAGCAATAAAATATAATCACTCCATTTGAGGAAAATACCTTGTTCTCTGCCATTGGATTCTTTTTTAAAAAGTAATTCAGCAAAATGAGGGAGGGAGAGAGGCAGAACCGTGCCCTAGTGCAATGCTGTTGTTTTCTAATTAAAATATTAAAACATGATTTTTTTTTCATTTTGGCAGAAACAGATGTTTTCTTGATGAAATTATTTTTCCATCTGAGGAAAAAATACTAGAAAAATAAATCAAGGTGATGCTGAATAAAAGGTGCTTTTGTGTGCAATAATTTGATTTTGTGGCTCTCCTTTTGTCACCTGCACTCTTCAGTGCAATTTCAGTGAGAATTCATCATTCAAATTAGTTACATCACTATGGGCACAAATGTGACACATGTTTTTGCTACTTTCTACAGTTCAAGCATCACTAAATCCAAAATCCAAAATCTGAAACGTTCCAAAATACCAAAAATTTGGATTACAAATATGACACCACACATTGAAATTTCCATCCCTGTCTTCATGTGACGTGTTTCAGTCAAAATGCAGGTGCATAAAAAATATTGCAGAGAGTCAACCTTCAGCCTGTGTGTGCGGTGTATAGGAAACATGAATAAGTATGGGTTGCATCCCATCCCCAAGTTGCTCCTACATCATCATTTAGCCAAACAGCCCATGAACCAGGAAAGAGTTAAGGTGAACTAGAACAAAATCTCCCGAGGGAATCACAGTCCCGCAAATAGTCCAAAACCCTTAAACATTTGAAATCCAAACACTTCTCGTCCAAAGCATTTCAGATAAGGGAGACTCAATCTGTATTATTTATTAATAGGTTCAACTGATGCTACCAAGATCAACAAAAATCACACAATAGTCTAGGAAAGTGGAACACTAAAAGCCTCTCATTGTATTAAGTTTGGGCCAGCACAGTATAAATCAAGATCTGAACACTGAAATACAGAATGATAGTTTGTACTTAGTTTCCATAAACCAAAGCTTTCATTTTCCTTTATTTATTTATTTAATTCTTTAACCAGTGAAAAAGACTATTTGTGCAACTCTTACCTGCTGGACTCTACAAAGAGTCTTTAAGTAAACAAGTCTTTGCTTCTACTATTCAGAGAAGTCGAGTCTAGGACAACTGGTTGAGATTAGCTTTAAATATTTATCTTGACATAGTGGCTGCTAATCCTAAAGTGATAACTCAATAAGCAAATGCCATCTACCAAGATGATTTAAGCCCATTTTCAGAAATGACAGCTTCCACATACCCTGGGCTCGCCATTCATTACATACTGGTCTGATGATGCAGCCAAAGGGTCTTGGCAGCTCAGCGGCTTTGGCCATCTAGTCTAAAACTCTCTGAGCTAGGAATGCTGATGGGGTCCATTTCTCCCACTAAGTCAAAGCCAACTGCCAGAATAGAAACAGGACAAGCTTCCAGGCGTCTTATGGATGGGTGCTTCATACAAACAGAGTACCTTGTAAAGTGCAAATGACAAAAACATGAATAGTAAATACAGTCCTTTTACAAGCTGACCTGAATAAAAAAAAAAGTACTTATAGGGATGGATGGAAAAGACGAAAAAAGGCAGCATCTTAAATGTTTTTTTTTACAGCAAGTTTCCAGAGGGTAGAATGATGGTTGCGGCAAATTTTGTTAGACTTTTGTTAGTTAACATTGCCCCTTCATCACCATTTAGCCAAAACCATGAATCAGGAATGAGATCAGGTGAACTAGAACAAAATCTCCCAAGGGAAAAAGAGTCCTGTAAATAACTGTGGCATACTCCTTTATTGCAGGGCATGGCAGGAAGCCAAAAGGGCACAGTGTCTCTGCTGTGTCAGCTACCATTCCTAGCAAACCCCATAACAATGCCCCGATTCTCCATTAAAATAGGGTTGAGATGCAAATCTTCTTGGCACAGGGTATGAAATTCAACATGCCCAAAGTCCTGAGAATTATTCTACCCAGCCTCAGCTTTGAACACCTCATTAAATCACACCAAAGCACTGAAACATAAATATAAAGGAACCAGCTCCCCAAATCACTGATTCTCACAATTGCGAGAGGGGTAGAAGAGATTGTCCCTGGCAATTCATAGAGTCTCTTTCCAAATGTTCTTGGCTTAAGAATGTTACCGTGAAGTTCGTTAAACCTTGAGGATGGTAAGGAAAATGTGAAGAAGTCATGTCTATTTCTTCAGACTTTAAGTGAAGATAAGCTCTTCCTATAGTCATTGGAAGGGTGTAAAACACTTTCACCAAAAACCTAGTGAAAACAACCTTCCAGTGACCAGAGAGTGTCCTTATTCAGCTTAGCATTGGCATCCCTGAGAGTTCCCCCTGTATCCTGCAAGTATGGATGATGTCACCTTCATTTGTGGGCAGATTGTGAAAAAGAGGATCTTGCGGGAAGGTTTGTGACTCCACATACTCCTGGAAAAACCTCCTCATATCCTATTAGCTCTACTGGAGTGTAACTCCAAGGGACTCCAATGCTCTGAATATTTATCAAAGGAGGATTGTAAACTGGGTAGGTGGGAAGACATGGGCATAAAAGAGTTAAATGATTTCATGTGAGTGTAATAAATTGTGAGAAAAGAAAGGCTGTGTCCTTTACCTATTGAAGGGGCAGATATTTCTTTAGAAACAAGAGGTATTTTTCCCCATAACATCTAACCCATAATTCTGCAAATCTAAAACTAATTGTTCTCTAACTTCTTCAAATAAAGAACAGAGATCAAAATGATTTTGCAAACAGAGAGAATAGAAGCCAGTATCTTCCACAAATTGAACAATTTAAAAGTAGTTCCTATACATAATAATTAGAATGTTATCAACCTTCAGTTATAGGTGTTTCTAATGAAGAAAAGCAAGGACTTTTCCTCCCATTAATCCTCTCCCAAAAGAATAAGGCAGATCAACATTCTTAGATTAGGATATCACAGCATTCAATGCACTTTTTAAAAAGTTACATTTATTTGCATGAGGAGAAATGAGCATAATGTTATTCTACGAATCCAGGAAGTAATGCTTACTTCAAACTTATGTAGATTCTAATTCTTCTAGAAATAAAAGATGTGGAGCATCTTCATCAGAGGAAAACACATCATTCTCTTAGAAATCCACCCTCCTGCTACTTTTCTATCCTTCACTCTTTCAGGAAAGGCACCAAAAGCAAGTACAAATGCTGTATTCTGCTGGAGTCACAAGGAATCCAGTGTAATTCAGGAGTATTTCAACTCGAATGGAAGAGGAATGCAGAACTACATGTTAAATTATTTTTATCTAGCAAGAAAAATAATGAACAATGAGAGTATCTAATTCTGTTAAGTGATTTTTTAAAAGCATGAAATAGATATACAAGCAAAACAGATACAAAGCACACCCAAATACACATTTCTTCTGCTTATATCCATTTCAACTACTATACTGGGTCACTTGTGGATCTGGTTAAAGATGCTATGTGTCTACAATCTTGCTACATATTTTCCTTTGTTCTTTGAAAGTGTTCTTGAAAATCATATACCTTATCAAAGAATGGAACATAGAAAAATACCAACACCATATCCCTAGCCTCCTGGGAAGGAAGGAATGGATGCCTTAGAGGTTGCAGAGATGTGGAAATTGTGTCCACGCATTTGACTTGCTCTTAGTGAAGATAAAAATTTACATAAAGTAAACTAATCACAGAGAATGATCCCCTTTTTGATTGTCAGCTCCATCAAACACAGAGTAAAGCTTAAAATTTGTCAGTTTCAGAGATTCTTGGGAGAATCACATGCATGCCTTATTTACTGTGAATGGGCAACCACAGATTGAGATATTAGCAATGAATGGCATGAATTTTAGACTTATAATTTCCAATACCATATATTTTTAAGATTGCCATTTTTTGCCTAATATTCTTTCTGAAAAAAAAGTAGGTACCACATTATTTTTTTACAAGACTCTGATAAATATAAGTTGAACTTGTCTGAACACAAATTCTTATAACCATGATGTCAGATTATTATCATTTGCTACCATTTCAGCTATAATTGTGAATATTTTCTCTTGCGCTGCTCATGGATCAGAGCATTAAATAGATACCATACTGGAATGTAACCTATAACTTGATATGAGGAGAAAATAGCAAAAAGTCACCAGGATCAATGTAGCTCCTTTTAAATTTTGTCTCTTCTTAATGAAGATGGAATGAACTACATGCTCCTCTTGAGCTGGGGGATAGTATAATGAAGTGATTATTATATAGAATTACACAACTAAATTTCAGGATTAAGCAAACCATCCTTAGTATTTTGTTTTAATGCCTTCTAAAAAATCAATAAACTTCCACAAAATGATAAGAACTCTTTAGCTACACACAATATTTGAAAACTCATAAAATTACATACTATATTGAAAAAAATCTTTGTAACTGACTAAATTCATTAAAACATTATGACATTTGAGTTACAGGATAAAAGTAAAATTCCTAAAACACCCTGACTAATCCTCTGCTTTATTCATTCTTTTAATTATATAATCAAGAATCAATTGAATCACAATTACCTGCATAATGTAATATTAAACTCTCTAGGAAGAAAACAAATAAAATTTGGAAATCATGGTCTCCAATCTCTTTCATTTATACATCCTGAATACACAAAGATTTTCAAAATTAGGAAAAAGCATTAATAATGTAATGTACTAGAATCATAATGATTATTATGATTAAAGGTAGATGAGACCTAAAATTTTCAAAGAAATTATAGGACTGGAGTCTTTAGAGAATTCATAAAGGAAGGAGTTAAGTGTTGGTATGTTCCTTGGAGGATGGATAATATCTAGATGGATTTTAAGAGTGAATTCTAAGGGCAAAGGTATGAAAATGTTACAGACTTATGAACACAAGCAGTTTACAGTATTTGTTTAGTATTGCTAAACTAATTTACCTAAAGCTGAAGTAGTATCTTTGAAATGTTTTATACCATCACATAAAGTTGAATTTTGCATTTTCAGGCAGCATCTCTCTCTCTCTCTCTCTCTCTCTCTCTCTCTCTCTCTCTCACACACACACACACACACACACACAATTATTAATGAAATATAGTTTTCACAAAACCATATTTATCCATACTATGTATTATATACTCTTGATATATTTTTCTCTTTCATTTTTCCAAAAAGCCAGCTGCAATTCATTAATTTCATTAGTAATCTATGCATGGAGTAAAATCCTTATTTGAGCAGTTTTTCCTTCCAGACACTTTGACATCTAGCTATAACTTTATCTACTAGGCAA